CGGCCCTGTAGGTAGATCATAGATCATTTGGGCTTGGTCATTTTAAAAGTAGCTCCCAAGCTGAAAAAGTGTGGGCACCCCTGTTCTACAACATCTAATGCCTCAATAGACAATAGCTAACAAGCGGCTAAATGAGACCACAGATGTTGTCTGGGACATTTAACATCAGTGGTCGAATGTTGATCTTGTAACCGTGGTGTGGTTTACATTAGATTGTTATGAAGATGATCTTGTGTAAGTATCAAACATTGAGCTGAATTTTGTAATAATCTGAAAGATAATAAACAAATCATTGTTTTGCTTTCAGTCAAGGGAACCAAGGTGGTGCCAACTTCAAGATTGGCCTACAACACCACATCATCCCTGCAGCACTCGATACAAACGATGTTAACTTGGGTTCTTCTGTAAAAATCATATCATATAATCTGCAGAGAGGCAGATCTCTTACCTCGTCAGAGCCAGATCTGAAAATGAGAAGGTCGAAAGGGATCGCTGCGAACAGATCAATGGGGAACCAGCCTTTGATATAGTGCTTGGCTATCCGGCTCGGCTGTGTGATCACTTCGTCGTTGCGGTTCACGTAAGTTGTGCGAAGGTTGATGACAATATCCACAATAAATAGCACGTCCACCAAAAGGTCTGCCACGTTCAGAGGGTTGCATGTGTAGCCGCAAGTATGACTCCTTTGACGTATATCCCCATGTTCATCCAGGAGAAAGGTGGCCGAGTAGGGAGTGAAAACAGCTGTGAAGAGAACCAGGAGGAGAATAATCCAGTCCCAAAATGCCTTGACCGGGCTGTAGTGTAGCAAGATCAACCATGTTGTCTCTGGCACCTGGAGTTTGTATTCGGGCAGCACATCGGACTCCAAAGAAAGAACCTAAATATAAAGAATGCATCAGTATGCAAATGTTTCAATGTTCCCTTCCATCATATTTCTTCTATAGTCAAATCTGAACTATAGATGTTTAGGAGCATTTGAATGCATTTTAGAAAGACAATTTGTTCTCCCAGAAGCCAAATGAACACTTTTACTTGAACCAACATTACAAATATGGCTTTTCACTTTGACACCAAGCAAAACAAGTACACTCTGTGAACTAATATTAAACAAAATACCTTTCTAGAAGACACACTGCGACCATGTAGGTCCAACCAATTCCCAACAGAGGCGTGACTTGAGTAAGGTTTTCCCCCCAGATCATACAATTATTTGCAGATAGTTAAAAAGCTAAAGAATGTTGTGGTCTGTAATCTACTATGCAGGATCTGACTGAGTGCTGGATACTGGTGAGCTGGGGGGGGGCTGGAGTGATGAGTTGGGCGTCACACGACAGAGTTCATGTGCTGCCACGCTCCTCATGTTCTCTTAAACTTAACATTGGAAGCCCTGACAAATGTCACACTCATTGCAGACAGACAGTTGTATTTACCAGGTGCACAGATAAATAGTTTGATATAGAGAGATTGATGGAAAAGGTTAGGTTTTAGCCAGTGACCCCGTGCAGCAAGGTCACAAAGTGTCGACAGTTGTAGTTCATCACAGAGCTTCCCAAAGAGGCAGTGATGCAGAATGCCGAGCCTCAGGGCTACAACAGCGACAACAATAGGTCTGAATTGAACCGGTGCTCAATTAACTTTGCTTTTCACACCTAGAAGGAAAACAACCAGCCACCAAACCACATACTGATTTTTCCACTAGCGGGTTAATTAGTGTCAGTCTTTCAACATGGCAACTTTCTGAAAGCCTCAAAACACGATTAATATGATCTCCTTAATGACGGCGTTAACTTGGCAAGCAGTGAATGCATCTGTGACGTCCTTTCCTGCTCCATACCTGTGTGACCTTCTCCTTGACGTTCTGTGAGCAGTCCTTCACCTTGGAGGGGCTGAGCAGCTCTATCCTGGGGGTCGGAGGCGAGCGGCACTCAGGGCCCCTGCTGGCTGGACCCCCACTCATCTTAAGGTCTGAGTCAGACATGGAGCTCTACTGGAATACAGGTGAGCAGAAAACACATTTATATTCAGGCCAAAGTGAACCAAAAGATTATTTTTGCATATGTTTAGCTTCTGTTTACTTCTTATAGTATAACATATCATTTTTCACTTCATTATTCTATTATTTATCATTTTCTTGCTTTACTGGACTAATACTGTAGATTCGTATAACATTATATTTTCCAATTTCAAGCATGTCAAGCAAAACAAGTGACTCAGTGATGTTTAATATTCCGTAACGCCCTTAACAAATTAATCTCAGCTCGATTTCCCAGAATGCCCATCTAGCTGTGCCCCTCCCAAAACACTTCTGCCCTTTAACACTAGATTGATAGATATACTTTATTGATTCCAAATTAGGGAACAAATGTGTTAGACAGTCTCAATACTTGACTCACAGTGTTACTGCGTAGAGAAGGCACGGTTACATAGTGGAAACATCGCTATCAAATCTTCAGCAAAGCTTAATTTCATTGTAAGTAATATAACGTACCTGATTCGAAACCAGAATGTCAGATCCTTCTTGGACTTAGACAACCATGACTCAGATATCCACACTTCAGGACACTTTCTGGACAAAGTGTTATCGAAAACATTCACTCTCTTCCTTCATAGTTCATATTTAAGAAAAATAAATGAACTTCTGTCATTCAGACGTCAATGTTGAACCCTCCACTCGGGCACAGGGCAGAGGACTGGCCTGCAGCTCGCATGTTGCCGCGTGACACTCACCAGCACAGGAAACAAATCAATGCCATGCTATAGCTGAGAGGAACTAAGGGGAAAATCAATGATGAGCATTGATAAACAGAGCAAATGGGCTCAGTGCCATTATGCTGGACTTCCCCGCTAAAACCAAATCACGATTTTAGTGTTCGTGTATGCAGTTTGGCTGTGTAGATCTAAAGTATAGTTCAGGTTGGGACGTACATCACACTGCTGTAAACAACAAAATCGGCCAGCTAAATGTACGGAGCTGGCTCAATATATCACATACATACTGTTGATGTGGGGTCTTATTGACAGTCATTTGTGGGGTCAATGACCTGTTATGACGCTGGCTCAAAACGTCCTTCAGTTGTAACCTTCAGCCATATACTCTATATACATAAATATGTGTGTTATGTGTTACTTCCCTTTGAAATTTGAGCTTCAGTGTGAAGAATGATGTCTCTATTTGTATTGTATACGTACAACATGATTTTGTGACTGAACATACAATTTATTATCACGGCCAAATATTTGATGTGTAAACTTCAATCGTCCAGACTCGAGCATCTACCCTGATAATTGACTTTTCAGTAAAGACGACATTTTATTGAATTTAACAGTTAAATTTTGTCATTGAAAAATATTTGCATATTAATAAATTATGTAGGAAAACGAGTAATGTCATTTAAAATATTTTTAAAGAGGCTATTGTACTGTAGTGTACTGTGTATTTCATTGTGTCTCGATGGTATCTTTAAAAGAGAAATCATATTAAATTGATCCATGTAAATACATAAACGTTTCTTCCATATCCAATGAATAAAAGTTACATTTGATTTTGGTAAAACGTTTAATCTTCTCCAGCATCCCATGAATGATGAGCTAAAGAAAAGGGACGTGAATGTGGTTATCAATTCTTACTGTATTACAAACTTTTAAATACAGCATTGACTAGAATAAAATAAATGAAAATGCAGAAGTCTTTTGGCGCCGGCTCGTAATGATACTCTAGTAATTTCAATCTTTTGAGAGAATATATTACAGAAATGTCCATTGAAGTATACATCATGAAAAGGACCACAACTTTCTTCCGCTTATAGTTCCTCACAGACAAGCGGTACAGGTTTTTTCTCTTTCGAAATATAATATCCAACATGCGATATTCAGCGTCCACAAAATGTCCCGGATACGTCCTCAGCTGTCAGCCTGGATGTTGTCCCAGACTTGAACTACATCTGGACAGTCACTGAGGGCTTCTACTAGCATTGAAGCCGCCTCCAGCTGATCTTCACTCAGAGACAAAGATATGCGTGGTAAAAACTCCAACCCAACAGACGTGATCTCCAATCCAAGCTTCCCCAGTGAGGCCCGCACCTTACTGGTTTCCACCATGTCACAGATAAACTGAGGACAGAGAAACAAATCACAGTATTAGTTAAACTGTGGTTGGGCTGAAATTTACTATTATAGTCCTCATCAACATTGTGTCTTCAAATGTGAGAAAATAGTGCCTTTAATAATTTCCAAATCCCAAGGTTAGGACATCATTTGATCTGATAAACAGTCAAAAACACAAGATGGATATGCATTAAAATCATTAAAAAAAAGAGAAAATGTTGTTATTTTCTTTATGGGACTGAATATTTCTATTGTTCCCTCATATTTCTGGACTGCTCTCCTTAGAAACATGTCTGACCTTCAGGATGGGCTGCTCCTCCTCATCCTCGCTCTCTTGGACATCTTCGGCTCCCCCCTCGATGGCCAGCTCCAGAGCTCTGTCTGTGGAGACGTTCTGACCCGGGACCACCACCACCCCCTTCCTGATGAAGTTGTGGCGCACTCCCTCTGAAATCATCCCTCTGTGGGTGAGTAGTGGGAGAAAACATACTTGATTGAAATACATAAACCACATATGGGTTTGTATTAGGTACGTTTTTAGTTTAAAAGCAGTATTTTTCTCATTGTTGTGTTTATATTCTTAGCCCAGTAGCCACTAGGGACATCTAGTGGCTACTGACCAGTGGTGGAAGTGGTAGTAATACTATTGTCCTTAATACTCCAATACAAGTACAAAGTTCAGCTAAATGTTTTTTAACTATCAACATTAAAAGTACTCAGTGTAGAATATTTTCACAGTATAGCAGTGTTATAAAGTGTAATCATTTGCTTTTATCGCCTTGAAATATTGTGACATGTAATGTCATTTCAATGTTGAAGTGTGCAGAATGTTGTAGTGTGCAATTCGTAGTACAGAACTGCTTCATATCATATAAGCATACCCGTTCTTTGAGAGCAGCCGTTTGATTTCATGGTTGGTGCCTGTGCGGTTGTCAGTCAGCGCCTCGATGAGCAGCATGCACCCCCCCGGCCCCCGAACTTCATAAGTGAGCTGCAACCCTGGTTTGGTCTTTTCCAGTCAAGCCAAGGAAAAATACATGAATGAGTTCATCGTAGCATTTTATATCATAACAATAGCATTTTCATGATATGTTCTATACTGGATAAGTATACAGACAGGTAACAACTAAGGAAACATTTGTTGTTCTCTTTGCCAAGTAGCATTGATGCTGTTAAGTATAAAGGACTTAAGCTGCTATTATAATAATAATAATAATAATATTTTTTTAATTATTATAGCACACTTAGTCTATTAAGATATTCTTTCCACATTTATTTTTTTCATTCATTCATTATATTGGCTTTAGTCTAGGTCTGTATTTTGTTTAGTTATTTCATTCATTTTTCACCCATTCCACCTACCGCATTCTTGATGGCGGACTCTATTGATGTTTTGGGCATGTTCTTGCTTCTGCACTGCTCCAGCACGTTGGCTAAATTTACATTCATCCCTGGGTTGGTTCCCCCTTCTGCAGATTAAACCAACATCACAATGAGCTAACATGAAACGCTCCGAAATGTATATGCAATATCTTATCGTCTTTAAGACTCTTGAAGATCTTACCTTTCACAGCTACCTTTATCAGTAAAGCAAACTTCATGAACATCTTGCACCTCGCCACATCTTTAGGTCCCTTGATGTTTTTCACCTTTGACCACTTGTTGTGTCCTGCACAGAGGGCGGAGCACACCTGCAGCGACCGGGCAGGAGAGCTCCTCCACGGCGGGTAAAGCACACATGAAGCCGGGAAGAGGACACACTCCCCCGGGTCCAGAAACCTGCCTGAAGTCGCTAGTGTCCGGGGGTGTAGGATCCGGAGAGACCTCAGCACCGCCGCCCCCGCCATGCCCTTCAGAGTGGATACAGTGTTACAGTAACCTGCTGTACATGTGGAGGGAGACAATACTACGAGCCTCCGTCTGCAGGTGAGGCCTTTAATTTCAGAAACCTGTAACTTTCACATCATTAAATAAATGTAAAAGCCTTAACTTTTCCAAACGTACAGTTTTGACAAGTCGGCTGGACACGCAGCTGCTGCTGTCCTTGTTGTGAGACCGGTTACTTCCTGGTTGTGACGTCAGAACGTGACGTTAGAAATGGTCTCTTCAAAATAAAAGCGCAATAAAGGACAGTTCACTACAAAAATGAGAACAATACAAGATAATGTAGGTTATTGAATACAAATGTTTCTTTCTACCAAACTACACCTGCCAAGCATACCATCATTATATATATATATATCACAGCTGGTAAAGGTGGAACTACTTTGAATGACTTTATGTCTACTGTTCCTGTGTATCTCCACCTAAAATAACATGTCTATTTACTCTTAAATATATTTGTTTGTATAAGCTAATCATTTATATTTTTATAATATAATATAAAGTAACTTGTTATGGAGTATAAAGGTACAATATTGGCTTCTAAAATGCAGTGGATTAGAAGAATGAAGTAGCATAAAAGGAAATAATCAGGTAAAGCAGACATTTACTTATTTAAGTACAGCACTTGCGTAGATGTACTTAGTTACATCAGTATGTTTGTTCATGTCAAATATTCAAAGACGTTGCTGGTTCGTCATCTAATGAATACCATGCATACTAAATACTTATACTGTTGTCATTTACATTCTCCAATATAGTTGTATATATTCCTGGATCATTGTAAGGAGTGCTGAATGAGAAAAATGTTGAATAACTCGTAAACCATGGGAACCTAAAATCTCTTAGAGGGCCCCTGGGTGTTTCTGGTTGACATTGGGAACATTTATATATAAGCACACATGTTAAACCACAACTGATCCCAAAAATAAGCCAAATTATTATTTATGATTCCCTTATCATTTGTGTATTCATTATATCTGATAGTATCAGCGAGGTTAGTTCTAGAGATGATAGGTTAATTGGCAAAAACAGTAAGCAGTGTGAGTCTGGTCTGTATCATTGTCCTTCTAAAATGTCCGAGCGTGAGAACTGGAAAATAAATGTTGGACTCTTGGCATGGGACCAACGTTTATCAAATCATACTGCTTCTTTTTGATGATAAAGGGACATAATAATAATAATAATAATAATAATAATAATAATAATAATAATAATAATAATAATAATAATAATAATAATATTAATAAAAAGCCTGTGCTCCATTCTTGTCTAGGATAAAAAAACAAAAACATAAAAGAACATTTTTGTGCACTAGAGATCTGACCAATTAAGGCTAAGGAGAAGGTTTATATTCTAAGGAAAATTAATTAAATGTTTTTTACTTAAACATACAGGGAGAGTAATTCAAAGAACTTTACAGCAAAGCCAAGAAAATAGAACATTTAGAGACAGAATTACACTTTTGAAATACTGCATTAAAATATGTTGAAATTCCATACATTTATTACATATAAATTACACAAAAGTGTGTCTGAATATTTGAAAAAAGTATTACTTTCATGCCACAATATTGTTATAGCTCTCTTTTGAGTTAAAACATCGTTAGGGGGTATTCTAAGAAAATATTGATATATGTAATCAATTGTGATTAAATCAGCAAACAGGCAAATATTGTATTACTGCCACTGCTTAAAGTCTTCATGCCTAATGAAAACGTCTATAGCTCCGCCCCTTTTACTTTGTCTGGAAGGAGACAAGCGGAAAAAAGACAGATCTACAAACAAGACAGCAGAGACAGAGGAGCAGAGCCGATGAGCACGAAGGGTTAACTGAGGTGGAAGCCACAGCCAATCAAAGCCAACCTGTGTCTGATAGACAGCCGTCCAAAGAACTGTAAAAGGAGGAGATTTGGTCCACAGTGCTTCCCTCTGTCTCTCTTCTCTCATTACACACTTCTACATTGTCCCTCAAACCTGAGACGCGGTGTCCACCGAGCCTCGAGGAGAAGCCTGCAAAGAAGAGAACTTTTAAAAAGCTCCAGAAGAAGAATCTGCAGAAACAAGAACACCATGAGCAACGATGGGACACCAGAGAAGAAGAGACCTTAACTTTGGGATATGAGTTCCTTCAATGCAACGTGATAAGATGATCTGATGTCAAACAAACGTCCAGTTTGAGTCGAAAAAAGACGTCATGTCTCCTGCTAAAGGAACCGGTGTCTTGGCTCTTTTCCACAGTGCCATGATAGTGATGGCACTGGTGAGTTTAATCTACTTATCCTGATTGGTGATTGCATTGTTGATTACTTAATTGATTGAATGGGTTTCACAACTATTGTTTAACGTTTTTTATTTACTTTCCTCTATTTGATTACGTTTATCGACCAAGCATAGAGGGAAAAATAGTTTCTTTGCATTTACTTTTGGTCCCCGAAAACAATATTTGCAATCCCATTTTATTTTTTGTATTTATGATTTGTGCAACAAAGTTCTATTGGATCCTATTTCATTAGATCTTATTTGTATTGGGAATCACCTCCTTAAATGAAACATAGCAGCAATTCAATTCTCAGTCTTAAGGATTCGTTTTTATATTCTACATTTAAGCTTTTCACACAGGAGCTTTATATCTTACACTATAACATGACTGAGTCAGAAATAATCCTCCCAAATATAGAAAATGTCATGTATCTGTGACTCTCTTTGATCGTTATGTACTTCAGAAAAGGTGCCAGCCATTCACAAGCAACACTCAGCATAGAGAGTGTGGTTTTTCTTTTTTTTAACAAGTGAGGGGATAGCGAATCGTTTTTTGTTTTTTTAGCAGTATGGACCCTTTAACTGAATGCCTAACTAATACCATAGAAATAACAACAAAACTAATATAATTGTAGAATATGTTGCCTCTACATTAGTGAAATGACTGATAACAACTAGGGAATTGCACAGGTACCTCACTAAAGTGCAGAATCTCCACAATAACAAATCACCTGTGTTCTGCTTTACCTCACCTCCATCCGGGTGACCCCTTTAACCTTTCACCCACTGAAGCGTGACCCCCCCCTGCAGCTCCCAGACCACCGTCGCCTCCGAGCGCCGTCTCTTTATCTTCGCCGGGTCGATCCTGAGTGTCGACCTCAGGCAGAATTACAACCTCCTGCTCAGTCAGCCCGAAAATCACTTCACATGAAGCAGAGGTCTGAGAGAGCAAATTCAATTATGATACAAAGGAGAGCTGATTGTTTTGCTAACACTCCCTGTCCGTCAGCACAAAACCCTCCTGTGCAACGAAAGGGAACCACTTCTCCGTATTTACTTGCTTGTTTTAATTTATGGGGATGTTTTGTCGAGGCCGTCTTTGTTTAACATTAAACTTCCAATATCTAATTGTGGGCAGAAATTATCGACAAGTGTTTTAATGGAATTGCCAACACAGCCAGTGTCCACAGTCCACACAAAAACAACAAGTGGATTCATCTGCATTCTCTGTGTTGACTTTGGCTTCAAGTCCCCCCCCCAAAAAACAAATCACTGTAAGGAATGAGTGATACAATACTGAAAACAGTGCTCACCCATTGACGGTTTATTTGAAAGGCTTATGCCAAGAATGTTAGTTATCACATATCCATCAACATGAACAAAAGTTTCCAGTTAGTTAGTTTCCTTTGCTTAAAGTTACAATTTGAAAGATATTTTCTTTATAAGTGGTAGTTGCAGCTGGATCTCAATTCCTATAAATCAAAACAGTGTGCACCCCTTGTGATTTTTCCCAGGATTATTTCCACAGACACCATCAGTGGGGTCAAACCCCATGGTACCTCGTTCAGCGATAAATAGAGTTTTGACTGACTGAATTCAAATCTTTGAGATTATGACTTTACAGAAAATAGTAAATATATATACAAATATATATTCAAATATGTTGTTCAACTTCTAGATTTAGAATCCTATTTACAGGAATATTCTATTCACAACATGATCATTTGAATATACATTTCTCACAAATCTCAAGAATGTATTTTCTCTCGCATGGATATATCGGGAAACTGAAACTGTCTTGAAGAATTTAAGTAAATGGGTTTAACATCAACTCTGATTGTGATGTATCACCCAAGTCTCATTTATCAAGTCAAATGCTCACTTCTTCCATGTGCATTTTTGCTAAACCTTGAAAAACTGATGGTGCATTCACACTGAATGTGAATTTAAGATTTAAGATATCGTTCGTGTCATTCCTGCTGCCTGTCCGTTGGCTCCTTTGTATTGAGCCTAAAGTTGTAAGTATCAAATATGAAAGTGCTCAGTCTTCTGAAAAACAGCCCTCATGATGGATAACGTTTATATATTACATTATGAGATGTTTCTATTCATGCAACTTAACTATTCTACCTCTTTCCAACTTTTGCCAAGTCTCTTTCTTTGAATATCTCTGCCTAATCGCTTCTCTCACCGCCCTCTTCTGTCGGTCAAAGGATTCTCATGTGATTTCTGTAGTTGCTAGTTTTGCTACTCTGTTGTGAAATGTAGCCGCCAACACAGATCTGCTTGTGTGGAGCAGCTCTCACCGGCATGGCCAAGGCCTCGAGGTAAAGACCCCCATGTGGCGATTGGCCGCCCCTCCACTGAAAAAAAAGCAGTTTGCGAGGGATCACGACATACCGCACCCTCACAAAACTATTTCACAACACCTGGAGGCAGCACATTAGATCCTCTGGAGGTTGTGCGGCTGACACATCGCCCTGTAGCTGGGAAAATACTTCAGAGGAGGGACTTCAGTGGGTTTTCCGATGCTTTATTTGAGTAAGGTACAAATGTCACACTGGGAAAATCCTGCATTTAAATCGTTACCTAAGTAAAAGTATGTAAGCAGGCAGTAGTGAAAGAAGAACTGTTTGTATATATATATATATATATATATATATATATATATATATATATATATATATAGCCTATGTTAATAAAGTAAAAGTACTCATCATACCATAGTGTAGAATACTCTGTTCAAGTCCAATATCCAACATTTTAGTAAACGTATGAAAGTATGAGTGTCAGAATATTCTTAAATCACAAAAGTAATTTTAATATTATATATATTATATTAGTATATTAATTCTGCACACCAACCCATTTCCGATTAATATCTAATATGCTATTGGATACAAATTGGATAATAATCATAGATGCATTATTTTGACTGAGGATCTTTGACTATATTCTGCTGGGTAATTTGTTATTTCCACCAAGGGATCAATAAAGTTAATCCTAACCTCTAACTAGAAAATGCATTTCCTGCAGAAAATGCGTGCGAATGCTGTAAACTGTGTACATTTGTTGCTGAATTTAGCTGAAAAAGCTGAATATGTTATTAGTTGAATGGTCTCTGTAGCTGCTTTTAGCTACAAAAACCAAATAAGTGTGTTGCTGAACTTAGCGGAGAAATGCAGAAAAGTGAAATGATTTGAATCAAAATTGTTACAGCTCAAATGCATTGCAATGACTTTGTTGGAAACTTGAAAGTGAAATGTTAAACTGGAAGAGTAGGAAAAATAGTGAAGAAGCTTAATATTTAAAAGAAAGGGTTTAAAAAAGGTATAAACAACAAACTGTTATAGCCTCAATGTCCTGAAATAGCTGAATACGTTAATAGTTGAATGATTTCTGTAG